GATCTCAAAATATTAATTGGACTTGTCTATTGTAACAATTCAGGATATCTTTGACTTCTGGAGGCTGCATGTTATTATCTCATTCTGCTTTTACAGCAGTTATCACACACAGCACTCTTCAGTGACCTTGGTCAAATAACTAGGGTTGCCAACTTCCAGGTTTTGGCTAGAGATCTCCTAGGATTACAACTGATCTCCAGGTGACAGAGATCAGTTCACCTGGAACAAATGGTTGCTTTGGAAGGTGAACTCTGTGGCATTATACCCCATTGAAATCCCTCCCCTCCCTAAACCCTGCCCTCCTCAAAATCTCCCAAATATTTCCTAACCTGGAGCTGGCAACCCCCCAGTAATTTTTCATTCATTCAAGGTAGGAATCAGTTCAGCATTTCAAATTCTTTTTCTAAATTCTTTTTCTGAGTGATATTTATGTATAAAATTCACCAAAATGTACTGTTAAAAGTCTTATATAGGGAATGTTTTTAATGTAGTAGTAACATTTGGGCATATTTGTACATTTAATTTCCAACTAATATCTTGTATCAAAGCTTTCTGCTAGAATACTCAACCTCTTTATTTGTGATGTTTTGGTTATGGCCAGTGTGTCATAGTGATAAGTGTTGTACAAAAAGCTGGGACACCAGATTCCCTTTCTCCCATGAAACCTATTGGGTGACCTCTCAACTCTCAGCTAAGTGGTTGTAAAGATAAAATGGAGGAGGGGAGAGAAGCACTGTCACCAGCATTATTTGTGTAGTACATTTTTACTCTGCAGAACAGGGTAAAGTAAAAATGTACAAAATAAATAATACTGATGATAGACACCAGCTTTTGAAATACTAGCTTTTGAAGACTAGTATGAAAATGTACTAATCTGTGAACTGTACATTAACCGTCATTAATAGCTTGTATAAAAATATGTACCAGTTTCCAGTGCCGATTTTGTCTTAAAGAATATAACTAATATTTGACCACTCTGAGACTTAAAGCAACACTGATGTACTACTCCTGTAAGTACTGAATATTATTGTCAGATTGTATGGACTTTTTTTCTGTGTTATTTGTCTGTTCTGATTGTGCTACAAATTGAAATAAACTCGAACAATGTAGTAGCTTGGTATATACTGTTTCTCTAAAATGCTGCCACAAAGACAACATCCTTTCCCCCAGCAAACATATGGAGTTGTCATTGTTTTAAAATAAATTGTTGTAAGCACTTTGCTCCACATCTACTTTGCATGGAGTTTAAATGAGGTGCCTGTAAGGAACTGTGAGGGCTATTACTACTAGGCCAAGGAGGGGGCCAGAAACATTTTGTCCCAGGCATATTAATTCCATGGAGACATGACTGATTATTTCACAATACCTGATAGCAAGCTAAGAGCAGAAAGTGTTTGTGTATAATATGCAGCTGATGGGCTAAAACTTTAAGCTGCATAAAAATTAGACACACAAATGAAATCTGAAAAAAAAATCATAGTTCTTACACATCTTTATATTGTTGTCTGCATTTTTGCACATGATGCTTTCTTTCAGTCATTTTGAGTCTTCTGAGTAAAGGCGGGGGGGAAGCATAACTTCTAAGTTCTAGACACATACTCTTAAACCCAAAAGAGTGTGAAAGGTATTGTACATACGTGACTTTAAATGCATCCTATAAGAACTGATTGTAGGAAACTTTGCAGATAATTTTTGATCCATGTTCACTGAGCTGTTGGCTACCAAAAATCAGTCAAGAAAAGCAGATCCTAAAAAGTGAAACAAAGGAATATAAAATCTGTGCCCTCTGTTGCATAGAAGAACCTTTTCCTCAATTATTGTTACATTCCTACAGTCCATTGGAGAACCTTCCCCCCCACCACTCTGACACCCAGAGGTTCATTTCTTAAACCAGATTAGATGGATATTCAGTTGCTATAAAATTCTACTGGGACTGAACCCTCTCTAAAATGCAAAAAAGCTATAGATGTCAATACTTTTTAGTTGACTCTCTTCCTCTTAAAACAAAAGGATTTCATTGGGGCACTGAGTTTCATCACTGCCAGTTTCCAATCTAATTGCCAAACTCCCCTTCTGGGAAAGACTATGATTCCTCAGTAACATAACATGAAATGAAGAAAAAGCATATAGAATACCTACAGTACAGAAGACAAATTTTACTCAGTAGGTTTAGATATATTAACAAAAGCAGATTACATTCTGGTTTAGATATATTAACAAAAGCAGATTACATTCTGCAAGGCCTGTAAAACGGAGCTGTTCTGCCAGGCTTTCAGCTAACTGGCGGGCGTCCATTCATTCTGGCCTCTCCTAACCAAACTGCCCTTAAATCACCTTATGGTGCAGATGGCATTTGTCACCATCAGTTGCAACTGGACTGCTATTATATCTCTGCACGCCTGGTCTTCAGTACAAGTGGCACAATGGATTATTATTGGCTCGCCATCTATCTTTTAATCTGGATTCTTACAACTTTGGTTTTAGAATGTCATTTTATTGTTAAATTTATGTTGTGACCCACCCTGAGCCCGCTCGCGGGGGAGGGCAGGATATAAATCAAGCATCTGTATGTGGGGTTATGACCAAGGACCCAAGTGAGATATGGGGATTGGTCCTTAATTTGAAACTTGAACTTTATCTCTTAAATTGTATTGATACTATTTATTTATTTAGAATATTTCTATACTGCCTGTTCAGAATCCTGCTGTAGGATGCTTACAATACACACCAATTTAAGTATTGATCCTGGGAAAGTATTTCTGTAGGCTTGGAGCTCTGCAAGGATAGTATTTTCCTGTTATTGGAAACAACTGACATTGCCTGGCAAATTAGAATTTTTCTTGAAGATGTGGCAATTGTTATCAATAATTAAACTAACAGCAATTCAGAATTCTGAGAATATTTTAGATGACAAAAGTTGGCAACTCTTGGATATATTTTAAAAATCCTCAAGCTGTTAGAAATGAATGGGTAATAAAAGAATAATTGTAACTATGTACATTCTTTCTTCATTTGTTTTTAATTTGTGAACTAAATGTATTGTTTGCTCTGTATACTGGTTCTGACTATGTATTGTTGCACATCACAATTTGTTTTAATCGTTTAAAACATGGGGCTGTATCCTACTGCTTCATTCAAATACGGGCAAAAAGTTCAATCAGTGCAAGGTGCATTCTTTCAGTGGCGAAACCTCTTGAGTCAGTGGAATGTGCCTTACACTAATGGAATACATTGCCTTCAACTGAATCAAGTAGTTGGATACACACTATAGAATTGCAGTCAAGGAAATAGAAAAGATGAAAAATCTAGGTACTAATATATATCCCTGCTTATACAATAGGACATAGGTTATATCTTTCATAGCTAGAGAACGCGAAATGCAGTAGGTTTAGCCAGCTTTCATTTTGTCTCTCTTTCTGCCTTCCTGGCAAGATATGGAACATGTAATTCAGAGAGCATAGCTTCTACTAATTTCAGACTTAATAAAGGACTTGTTGAATCGTGGATGTAAAACTGATGCAAGGCACATGACTTTCTGTAGAAAAGGTTCCCTGTTTTTAGGAGAGAGAGATATATGACATCTATAATGTTTGGGTTTTTTAAAATATTTATAAAATCGTATACATTTAACCAAGTCGAATCAGAGAACTAGGCATATACAATCTAGCTACAATATCATACACTTATAGAACCAGTTATCTTTAGCTTTATCTAAAATATCTATCCCATAACTATATACATTTCAAAACATTCTCTGTTGCATTTTTCTCTGTCCTGATTACATTCCAATACATAATAAACAACTATTAAGTCAATAACTTTTTCTTGCACATTCCTTTTTCCAGTCCACAATCTGCTTAATTGCTGTTAACATGTTAGTCAACATAATAAGGCTTTGTGTATCCAAACTATAGTCTCAGGAAGTATATCGTTTTTCCAGTATTGTGCCAAGATCATTCGGGCGGCTACTGATGGGTTCTTAACTAGATTTCTAATTCCTGGTTTCAGCCATCTTGGGAGAAGCCCTAAAACAGCAATTTTGGGGTCACAAGGTAAATTTGCCTTTTTTCACTGCTGCAGCACACTGGGTTGACACTTTCATTGAGTTATCCACTATGACCTCATAATCTTTTCCCTTCTCAATCCCAGCAAATTCAGACCCCATTAGCCTATACTTGAAGTTGGGATTTGAAACAATTTCTGAATTTCTTCTATCACAAGGCATTTTCATACTGAATGAAATCCTTTTTCCTTTTTGTAATATCTTGTAGTCATTCTCCTTGGAAAAAAAATCTAATATCTTCTGGATTGGACATTTATTCTTTATGCCCCTCCCTCAACTAATAGTCTTTGATGGATGCATAGAAAAGTGTTTCATTAAATCAGAAGGAGTTTTCATATTCTTCTAATACTTTTGCAAGAAAGTTTTAAATATTGAAAGGTCAGATATTAATATTATAAATAATTTTACCCATACAAATACTCAGGTTTCTTTTCAGATCTTATCAATCTTTTGCCCATAATTAATATGTTAAATCTGTGACAATAATGCTGAAACACCTAGCTCCTAAAGATTGTTTTAGTATGTCTTGAATAATAATTTCTACACCAAGACAAAGTTACAGTTTGGGGAGGGGGGAGTTTGATCAGGGGTCAGCGACCTAGTTTTTGTTGTTGTTTCCAACATGCAAGGAAGCTCCATGCATGTGGTAGCAAATTTGCATTGCACACAAAACACTCCCTGCTCCAGAGTCTTTGACTGTGCAGGTGAGTTGATGCGTTTGTGTGTTAAGGTCTATAGTGATTAAATGTAACTAAGAACAGCTTGCTGGAGGGTTAGTGCTAACATATATAAATTTTTTTTGTGTGAATAGAAGTAATTTCATTTTCTGCAAGCTTCAGTTCGACTTTCTGCTGTCTGCCCTTCTCATTAACTGTAGATTTATGTAGCATGCTACCTGTCCTGGTATATTAACACTTAATTTTCTTGTAACATACAGAGAAAAGATGGAAGGAAGCAAAATGAAGGCGCACACAAAAGCATTGAAGCAGTTGTCGCACGCCTTGAAAAGCAGAATGGAATGAGTCTCAGTAGCAATTCCAGTCCTGAGGCAACATTTATGGAGTCTTCAGAAAGGTTGAACAATATGGACGATGCTGTAGTTCCTCGGGTTCTTTATGAGGAATTGTTAAGAAGTTACCAGCAGCAGCAGGAAGAAATGAGACACATTCAGCAAGAACTTGAGAGAACAAGGAGGCAGCTTGTTCAGCAAGCAAAAAAACTAAAGGAGTATGGGACATTAGTGTCAGAAATGAAGGAACTCAGAGACTTAAACAGACGGCTACAGGATGTACTGCTTCTAAGATTAGGCAGTGGTAAGTGTGTGTGAGACAAGTTTAAAAATGTTTCATTTCATTTTTAGCACAGAGTGACTAAAATATTCACAGAAAGATCCAACTGTGTCTCTCAGTACCATTTAATCTTCCAATTCATTCTACATTGAAAATTCTGGGCTTTCACTTTATTTTTGTGAACCTTTTTTTAGAAGCAGAGGTCTTCATTTCCAAAGGGCCATGCCATGTGCAAGTAATGGGACCTTAGTCCTCTGTAGTATGCCAAAGAGAATCCAACAGATATTTGACTAAAAGCATAAGTATGCATATTTTTCTTAAAGGAAAAACCCATAATCCAGTCTCCTTTTACCTGTAGATTATTTCCTATCCGTTATGTCACCATTCTCTTTTCAGACCAAACTAGAAATTATGTAGAAGGTGCACCTGTTACCAAACCTACCAGCAATGAACTTAGCTCCCCTACCACTTTTTCCACTTAACATGTCCTGACATTGTAGTGATCTTCTCTTCCCTACTCTACAATGTTAGCTGACATTGACAGGGTCGGAGAATACTGGAATGAGACACTGGATCATAGGAACAGTAGCACCTTCAAGTCCAGTAGCACCTTAGAGACCAACAAGATTTTTGGAGTATAAACTTTTGAGAATCAAAGCTCTTTTTGTCAGAGAACTTTGACTCTCAAAAGCTTATACCCTGAAAATCTTGGTCTCTGAGGTGCTGTTGGACTTGAATACAGCTGTTCTGCAGACCAACACAGCTACCCTCTGAAACTGGATCATAGGAAGTTCTTCTAGATGCTTGGTGGGGGTCAGTGGAGCAATGCACATCTGGAGTTTTGTCATCAGCCATGCATTTAGTGAGCCGCCCTGAGCCTGCTTGGTGTAACAATCGTGTTGTCAGCGATGGTTTCTAGCAATCTTTAAGTGGCAGGTGGCAGTAGGAAAGCCAAGCCACACTTCTGTTGCTATTGTCAGATCTAGTCACCATTTTCTTCTTTTCTGCTCACAATATGTATTTGACTTTATGTGGAAAAGGGAGAGGCTGAAGAGTGTCTGAGGAATGTTCTCCTTGTCCTCCATTTGTTTGCCATTCTCCCATTCTTTTTCCTTTCTAAGCTGCAAACTTATGTCAAAAGTTAAGAAGGGGGGGGGACTGCCATATGTGCACACAAAGATAGCAGAGCCTCCCCCTGCATCCTGCAGCAGAATTGCTTGGTATGGCAAATGGAAAGACATTCATGGTTCTTTCTTCCTTGAAGAACCCTGTAAAGAAGGAGGAAGGGGAGGGAATTAAGGGCTATGTGGACATCCCTCAGGTAGGTTTATTTGTCCTGTGCATGATCAGCTATGGATCAGCTACTTAATGTCTAGCTTAGACCTTATAATAAATTCATTTGCCAATTAAGTAACTACGGAGATTCAGAACAAGTTTATGCCATATTTCGTAGAACAGATTAATTATATACAAAGGCAACTGAAGATAGACAATTTTCCTGAGCTGTTAATTGGACCGTGCTCAGGTGCCCTACTGTTGAAAGTTATGTCCAAACTATATGTCACAGCTCTGACCTGGATAGCCCAGGCTAGTCCAATCTCATCATATCTCAGAAGCTAAGTAGGGTTGGCCCTGGCTAGAATTTGGATGCGCGATCTACAAGGAATACCAGGGGTGTGACACAGAGGCAGGCAAAGGCAAACCACCTCTGAAACATCTCTTGCCTTAAAAACAAGTCTAGCTTACCTGCCTCACCACCTAGTAGGAAACAAAAAAGAATACCACTGGCAAAAAATAATAACACACAAGCAAGTAAGCAAGTATATAATGATCAAATAAGCATAACAGCAAGTATAATATAAATCAAATAAACATAACAAGTATGATATAAATCAATAGGCCAAAGTGCAATAATAAATCATAATAGAAACAAGTCACAGTCTTTCCATGTGTATACTCCAGCATAGAAGCAATATCAAAGTCCAAATTGGAGTGCAATTCATCAATTTTTCTGAGCCATAAAATGCCGACGAGTAATCCGGATGCCTGTTGCCGCGTTTCGAATAATTCTCATTCAAGCATGGCTGTAATGGGACTGAATGCAAATTCAAAGCATATACAAATGAGAATTTGGACTTTGATATTGCTTCTATGCTGGAGTAGACACATGGAAAGACTGTGACAATCTTTGCGGATGATACGAAGTTGTTCACGAAGTTGTTCAGGGTGGTGAAAACCAGTGAGGATTGTGAGGCACTCCAAAGGGATCTGTCAAAGATGGGCGAGTGGGCGTCAACATGGCAAATGGGGTTCAGTGTGGCCAAGTGCAAGGTGATGCACATTGGAGCCAAAAATCCTAAATATAAATACACGTTGATGGGGTCTGAACTGGCAGAGACTGATCAAGAGAGAGATCTTGGAGTTGTAGTAGATAACTCACTGAAAATGTCGAGACAGTGTGTGACTGCAATAAAGAAGGCCAATGCTATTCTGGGGATTATTAGGAAGGGTATTGTAAACAGATCAGCCAATATCATAATGCCCCTATATAAATCAATGGTGCGACCTCATCTGGAATACTGTGTGCAATTCTGGTCACCACACCTTAAAAAGGATATTATCGCTTTGGAAAAAGTGCAGAAAAGGGCAACTCGAATGATAAAGGGGTTGGAACACTTTCCCTATGAGGAAAGGTTAAGGCGCTTAGGGCTCTTTAGCTTGGAGAAACGACAACTGAGGGGTGACATGATCGAGGTTTATAAGATTATGCATGGGATACAGCAGGTAGAGAAAGAGGTACTTTTCTCCCTTTCTCACAATACAAGAACTCGTGGGCACTCCATGAAATTGCTGAGCGGTCGGGTTAGAACGGATAAAAGCAAGTACTTCTTCACCCAAAGAGTGATTAACACTTGGAATTCACTGCCACAGGAAGTGGTGGCAGCTACAAGCATGGACGTCTTCAAAAGGGAATTAGATAGGCATATGGAGCAGAGGTCCATCAGTGGCTATTAGCCACTAGGTATAGATAGGGACTCTGGGGCAAGTGATGCTCTGTCATCTTGGTGCTTTGGGGGGTCAACAGTGGGATGGCTTCTAATGTCCTGGCCCCACTGGTGGACCTGATGGCACTGGTATTTCTGGCCACTGTGTGAGACAGAGTGTTGGACTGGATGGGCCATTGGCCTGATCCAACATTGGCATCTCTTATGTTCTTATGTTCTTATCTTAGGATCTTCTGGCTATGCTACACACACTGCCATATAATAATTATAATTAAATAAATAAATAAAATTATTTGTCACATCTAGCACAAGTCAAGTTGAAGTTCCCCAAACCTGAATCTGATCTTTGCACATCCAAACATGACATCAGGAAACTGAAGTTCCCAAACATGCTAGGGCATGTTGTGTTTCAGGACCATGGTATGGGGGAAGAAGGAGCTTCAGCCTTCCTTCCCATGTTGTTTTCCTGAGCTGAAATGACCTTATCATTTGTATTTGTCCTGCTTTGGGGTCCCTCTATAGCATTCAGTTTTTGTGCCAGATGTAATGTGTAGTTTAAGGAGATAATAGGGAGAGGACCTTCTCCGATATTACACCCAGGATGTAGAACTGCCTCCACAGAGACGTTTGCCTGGCAGGGAGTTAAAACAGTTTCATTTGGTTGAGGGAGTATAAAGCCTTTTAGGTTACTGCTTTGTTGCTGTTTCATTCTACTTTGTATGATGTTTTATTTAATTTTATTGCTGCAGTCAAATTTATTTTAAGGTATTTTGTTAGCTGCCAAAGGGGCGTAAATATATTGAACTAGCCTGATACCCGTGCTTCGCTACGGTATTTAAGTTCCGTAAATCCAGTTACAATACTGATGATGTGAAGTCTGAAATGTAACATTTGTTCAAGGAATTCTAATGGAGAAGATTGTAGTGTAAAAAATGAAGTGAGACATATGTACTTTTTCCCTCTCTACTGAAGGACCTCTCTGTAGACCACATTGGTGGTTCTGCCCTCAGGTGCTAGGATCACCAGGATTGTATTTAAAGGCATCAGGGAGGCTGGGCCAGCAGCATGGCTAAGGCTGTAAGCATCCCACCTCCTCTCCTACACCTAATAGGCGGTTGTCTGTCAGGTGCAGCAGTGGTTGCAGGGTGCTTAAAGCTACAAGGGAGCCTGCCCCAGCAGTAACGCCTTAGTCATCGAGACAACCCTGCCTCCACAGTGGCTTCTAATACTCCTCCCCGTTTTACACTAGACAGGCAGCTGCCTGTCAGGTGTATGAGAGATGGATGGATGTTTACAGCCGCCGGGGAGGTTTGCTCAGCAGGATTGCCTTAGCCATGTTGCTGGCCCAGCCTCTCTGATGCCTTTAAATACAATCCCCCCCAACACCAGACAGGCCGGTGTCTGTCAGGTGTAGGAGCAGGGCCAGGGTATGAATGTTTATGGGGAGATAGTAAAGGACATTTCTAGGAGTCATTTCGATGCATGCCTCCCTCATGAAACTGAAGAAATGTCCACCACATCACCACTCCCTCACACCTCACACCTCGTACTGCCTCCAAGAAAGCTCCTGGCAAACGTTGAGCCAGATACACCAATGCTACAAGGAGGAGGCAACTTAGGAATGCGGCAAAGACATTTGCACATAGTATTCCTGTAGTGCACTGAGCTGCACAGGCCAAGTACCAGCTTTCTTACACTACAATCTTCTATGTTAGAATTCCTACAACAAATGTCACATTTCAAATTTCACATCGTCAGTATTATGACTGGATCCACGGAACTTAAATACCGTAGCGAAGCACGGGTAGCAGGCTAGTATATATATAGACAGGGGGGGGTTGTACCCTAGGATTTTTTGTACCCTAGGCAAGGCTACCTTCTGGCGCCCCCCCACCAATTACAGGGTTGCCAACCTCCAGGCAGGGCTGCGATAACCGGCCTGACTGTGGGGCCGCCGGCAGGAGTTCAGGTGGGGGGGAGGCAGAGCCCAGCAGGGGGGGTCATGTGGAGCTTCCGGCT